ACACAGATTTCTCAAAATCACATTTATGCTTCCTACTAAGGTGTGCTGAAAATGATTACTTCACTCTAAAATAGTTTTTACAGTTACTAACTGGACATTCCGTGTGTTTTACCATCTCGAATGTGTCATCTTAGGTGTTCACAAAGGCTGGAGAATAGTCGACACGACTGTAACTTGCAGCCTTCCACGGTGCATCTAGAATTCAGATTGGGTTGTTCAGATGTGTTCACTATTTTTGTGGGTTTTATGTGTTTGCGGTAACGTTACATGTGCGACTGAAGTGTGGAGAGGCTATAAGAACGTGCATGCATACACGAAAACCTGAAGTTCGCGCTTTGGCATGATTCATAAATGCATATTATTTCTCAAAAGGTGTTTGCAGACGAACATTGCGGGTTTTACGCTAGCAGTAAATGCATGCTGTACATTTATACACTTATATATGGGTAGCGCCAAGAGATTACACAGCTGTACCATTAAAAGCTCAGTTTGTTGGCCAACAATTTCATACGAGTTCACATAAAACCTCACCTGCTACCGACGTGGTCAAAACGAAGACAGAGACCTGTTTATGTTCGCACTTTGATGGTGAAACGTTCTACAAAAAAGGAAAGAAAAGAAAGAAAGATCTTTTTTGCACAGAATGTTCTCTCTTCAATCTCAAATGAGTTTCAGCTCTCTACCAACGAACACCGTGAGGAAACTGCGCGTTGTGCAGTGTCAGCGTTTTTTTTTTTTATTATTATTATTTTGCTTTTAATTAAACCAACAAATAACCCCTAAAATTACACTGACATAAAATATGTAATGAAAAAGCAGGAATATTGTACATAGATTTGCAGGTGCGAGGTATGTGCGTCTTCCTTTTCTTCTTCTTCTTCTTCTTCTTTTTCTTCTTTCTCAAGCAGAAAAAAAAATACTTTCTGTCATTGGTCAGGTTTCCCCGCTCATTTTTTTACTGTATTTGGATTTACAGTAAATGAAAAATACTGTATTTTAATGGCGCCAAGAGGATATTTCCCATAATGCAATTTTAAAATACAGTAACATACTGTGTAACTGTTTTACAGTAAAGTACAGTTCATATTACAGTTAAATACTGTGTAATTTACAGAAATCGCTAACAGTGTAGGAATTGCAATGATAGTAGGAAATTGTCAGAGGGTTGTGAAAATGGCTACGTTTTATAGACCAATTCTCTATTCTTTCTAAATAGCCTGAAGAGAATCTGCAGTTATAACCCTCATGGTAAAACAACAGATTGGAAATGGGAGCAAATTTAAAAGAAATTCAGAAAGCTTATCACAAGAGAGAACAGGACG